CTCGCGTCGTCCGTGGTCGCGTAAATTTTCGTGGGTCCTCGGAGGAGCTACATCGGATGGCGATCTTGTACATCTCGTTCGCGCGATCCCATCATTAAACGTATCACGCATTGTCTCATCGTATCACTCGGATAATCATCGTAAGTTTCGCATTAACTCGTAATATCGATGATACTTTTCGCGCGTACCGGCTTTCGTTGAAAGAGAAAAAGACAGAGAGAGAAAGAGAGTGGCGCGACGGGCTTCCTCCATGTAACCCACCGTAACCACGTGCTTGAAAATATTATCGGCCGGATCGGCTCGCGTGTAAGTATCTGTAAGTATCCTCGAATCACCGAAACGCGAAATCACCCGCGCTCGGACGTTCTGCTCTAGGACTCGGAGATTGTCCGGGATCCCTTTCCTTTCGTCGTCGTTAACGTGTTGAAATAACGTTAGCTGCTTCCAGAACGCGCGATAAGGCGTCGAGAATATTCCGTCGCGTCTGAACAGAGGCATGCCGAAATGACGGAGTTCGTGGATGGCTGGTTCCTGGGTCATATCCTGGGCGAGGGTGCCTATGGCGAGTACGTCTTTCCATTTTTTTTCGTTCTTTGTTAAACCTTTGTTAAGCAACGATCTACGCGCTTCCGCATTCTCCCACGGCAGATATTCGGTTGTGATTTTCGAGGTCCATTGTTCCTATTGTTCGGAGCACGTTGTTGAGAGATTTGTGTCCGTTTCTACTAAATAATTTAAAATTTTAATCTCTATGTAATTTATTTTTACTAATTCTAAGAATAGGATACAAAATAAATTAAGCCAAGATTAAAGTTAATCTACATTGGTAAATTAATTTTAATTTTTGTTTAACTTAATTTTTATTCTTTTTTTTTAGTTTTAAACTTTAGAAAAAAATGAAGAGCAAATTAAACCGCGATTAAAGTTAATTTATATTGATTAATTTTAATCTCTTTAATTTAATTTTGAGAAAATTAAAAAAAGGTAAAGAATAAATTAAATTAAGATTAAAGCTAATCTGCATTGGTAGAAGTAGACATCAATTAGTTTCTAGTAGAATTTTTTTTTAATATATCATACCACTTCCATTCATAATTTTTTATAAACAAATTCTTTTTTTATATTTGGAAAAAAGTAGAACAATTACAGAAAATAGTTTAACATTTAATATGTTGTTGGGATTTTATAATTTGATATTTTTTGTACAGGGTTAAACTAGTTGTAAATAAATCTACAGGCGAAGCTGTTGCTATGAAAATGATTGACATTGAGAAACATCCGGATGCGAGACAAACAGTTCGCAAGGAAACTGCTATTCATCGTATGTTGTCAAACTCTAATATCATACAATATTTTGGAAAACGTAGCGAGTCTAATATGGAATATATATTTCTGGAATATGCCTCAGGTGGAGAGTTATTTGATAGAATTGGTAAGATACACACAACTGGAGTAAAATAATACAATATTGTAAAATATATATATAATATAAGAATACTTTATAAAATAATATCTTGTAAAATAATACTGAAATATATAGAGATTAGATTGAATTAGAATTTACACAATTAGAAGAAGAAAGCCAATAAGATAAACTTTGCTTTGATTGGTCAAATTCCAATCCAATCTTAATCTAGTAGAACAGTCGTGATTAAATCAGAGATTGAGATTAGATTGGAATTTAACTGATCAAAATTTGAGGTTTTCTCTTTTTATTGGTTGAATTCCTTTCTAATCTCAATCCCAGTTTCTAATTTTAATCATGGTTTAAGAAAATTATAAAAAATAAATACTAAATTTCATTATAGAACCTGATGTCGGTATGCCGATGTGGGGAGCTCAGAAGTATTTTAGACAATTAATTTCTGGTGTAGAGTATCTACATAGTCGCGGAGTTGCGCATAGAGATCTCAAACCAGAGAATTTACTTTTAGATAATAATGATAATTTAAAGATAAGTGACTTTGGATTAGCGACGATATACCGTATGCAAGGTAAAGAACGTCTTTTGGAAAAAAAATGTGGTACTCTACCTTATGTTGCACCTGAGGTGCTGGTAAGAGCGTATCACGCAGAACCTGCAGACATATGGTCTTGTGGAATTATCCTCGTGGCTTTGTTGGCTGGAGGTAAAATTGCATACATGAAATATTAAAAAATTATTACTTCATTTATCTTTGGTAATCTTCATGTTAATCTTACAAATAAATATATTAAGTTAATTTATTAATTTTGCTCCACATTGTGAAGCTTGTGATTGTCAGTTGAAAACTGCAAAGAAATTTCATAACATTCACGCCAATGTGCCTTTGATTTGAAATTTATTGAATATCTAATACTTAACTTACATTCCTTAGTTTTTAACTGGTCCATATCTGAAATATAGAACTGCCATGGGACCAACCCTTGGCAGAGTGTCCTGAATATATTACATGGAAAAACGGAAAATATATGTCTCTTACACCGTGGAAAAAACTTGACAATTCATCGTTATCATTAATAAGAAAGATCCTTATGGACTCGTCATCGACAAGATACAAAATGTCGGACATTAAGCAACACAGGTGGTTTGTCACGAGTTTTGCCAAAGGTAAAACTGCATTCTGGATCGGTACTGTTAGAAAAATAGGTTCAATATCTAGCATAGGTATCCTGCATTTTTTAAAATTAATATCCCTGGAAGATTAACATTGGAGGCACCTGGATAGTGTTTACTTAGTCAGGTACTGAGTGACTCTGAGTATTAATAAAATTACTCAAAGGAACTCGGTACCTAATTTAGTGGATACTGCATACAACGAATTCTTATTGCTTTTTTACGTGAGTGCTTTATTAATATTAATTAGGATTAGCAAGCATTATATTTAACAACATATATTTTGTAGTCAGCAGAGCTCTTGCCTTTTCTTTGGTAATACAGCTCTATGAGTTTAATTTAAGTATCATAAAGCTAGATTACCAAAGCAGAGAGCATTGGCATATACTTCTAAGATAACACAAATTTCAACTGAGTTATGTAGAATAACATTGTAATAATTGGTTGAATGTGATAAGTAGACTATATTTTTTGTGCAAAGTTTTGTATTTCAATAATATTATGTTTTGCATATAAAATATAGATACGAATGAAGTATTTATAATTTACAGGTGACGAAGTAGACGGACGTAATTATCGAATAGAGGATGAAAATCTAAGAAATGTTTGTTTGTCCCAACCCGAATTCCCCGGGATGGAAAGTAATGATACAATTCAATTCAATTTGGACAGACGTCCAACGTTTTCATTTTCTCAACCCGCTCACGTAGAAGATCTTTTATTGGGTACACAGTTACAATTTACACAACCCAGTCAGGTAAGATCTTTACTAAATGGACTTTGAATTAATTTATCGTTACATTGAGAAAATATTTCTTACATAATATCAAATAATTTTATGTTCTGCTTGCAGCAAAACCCCTTCCAAAGATTAGTTCGCCGAATGACTAGATTCTTTGTTAAAACAGAATGCAAAGAAATTGTAAAGAGGCTAATAAAGTATTGTGAGAAAGAGAATTACGCTTATCGCAATAATGAATCTGGCGTGGTAAGACATTATATAATACAGAAATAAATTTAAAAGAATATTAGATGATAATGTTGTATGTTTACAGGTAACGATATCGACTGTAGATCGGCGTAAAATGTCTCTAGTTTTCAAAGTGAATTTTATGGAAATGGACGGAAATATATTAGTCGATTTCCGATTGTCTAAAGGATGTGGTTTGGAATTCAAAAGAGCGTTTATTAAAATCAGATGCGCAATGGAAGATGTTATTCTGAAGAGTTCCGTAGTGTATTCGAAGAGCTAATAATGACAAACCCACAAATAATTATATGTATAGAAATGTATTTTGTATTTTTTTAAATATATTTTTTTATAACATTTTTTAAATCCTTCATTCTCTGTGCTATATATCTCTCTCATGTCTTTAAATAATTTTATAGTTAATGTATTAAAAGTTAATTTGTTTCTGTCTTTGTCAGATTTTTATTATTACGAGGATTGTGAATTTTTAATGAAACGTTAAGCATTAACATTAGCTGATTTGTGCAAAAAAGAGTGAATAAAATGATACTTTCATCATTCAAAGTATATACATATTATGAATATGTTAGAAAATTCGCTAACTACTAAAAATCTAAAGTATATATAACATTATATTACAGATATTTAATACATTTAATTTGGATAAATGAATTATTTGAAATAGCTTTGTGTAATCTATCTGATTTAAAGAGTCTATTGATTTATTACTATACTTACTACTAATAAAAATAAATAATGTTACTAATACTAGTAATTGAGCTATTTCTTTTTTATTTTTGTATTTATTTCATTTTATATATGTTTATAGAATTCTAGAATTCCTCATAATGGTGGAGTTCCTTCTACCATGGTCTTCATAGTCTTCATTTCCAATGAAATAACTGTATAATATCTGAAGATAAAGAAAAAATATATACAAAAATAAAAAAGAACTGTATAAGAAGCTACACATACAAAATTACGTTATGTACATTTCGTTTTTATGCTGTAAGCATTATTTTATACAGGCTTTCTATCGAATATTAAATAAGTATAGTATCATAAGTGTTAATATGAATGTATCTATTATTAACAATTTTAAAAAATCATATTCATCATGCATTGGCATAATTAAACAAAAAATTGGTTAGTAGCTCAGAGTCGATGTATTATCTTGAAATAAGATAAAAATTATAAAAGTGAGCAAATTCTTTAGAACACTTACAATTTCATTGGTCAACATCTAATAAATTTATTCACTTTTGTAATTTTCAATTTATTCAAAATACACAATCGACTGTTGATTTCCAATCTTGTTAGCGCGACGTCTATGGAAAAGATGTAGCATCGCGCCGCAGCGCTATCTTTGTGCCAAGCTTGTAACTCGTATACGACGAGTATTCCGACGCATGCGCATGCAGTCGTTGTAGCTGGTGTAGCGACGCTGTGTCTGTTGGTGAGAGCAGCGACACTCCGCGGTCCTCATTTAATTCCGTGCCCCAACATTTTGTCAATTTTATCGAAATGGATCCAGTAAAAATGTCTATGCAGCCGCATAGCAGGAAACGTGTCTGCTACTATTACGACAGTAAGTTACTGAAGAAAATCCATCGCACTTTGTGATCCCGCGAAAAGCGCCGCATGCACACATACACGCGTGGGGGGAAGCTTGTAAAATGTGTTTGCGCCGTTCGCGCTTACCGCCTCTATTTCGCGTTTTCTAATTCGGTATCCGTTAACGTTTTGCCCCATTCACGACTTGTCAGCAACAAATCTGTCGAAGCACGATCTTCGTAACGTGTTATATCATAATTTTCATGCTTTCCGAAGTAGATAATACGATTTTTGTAACGTTAAGACGACAGATTCTCAGCCGCGGCTACGTACGATCGTAGGCAAGCTTGGGCAAGAGTGTCGGCCATTGCTATATATATGTACAGTCACCGTATACTGAAGTACCTTTGACGTTATCGAATCAATATCTCTTACTACAAATAACAATTTTATAATCTACCCCTGACGACTACGGCTGATAATTGAAGAATTTAATTCAATATATCGCCTAATCGACTTTTTGTAGGAATTGGACAATAAAACTTGGACGTTTCACAAGTCACGAATTTTTTAATATATATTACCATATGTGGCGATAATTATTCACATTATGCTTCGAACTGTAACTCTTCTTAGTCACGAGACAAGGGTTTTATCACGAAAAAAGCGAAAAAGAAATTAGTAGTCTGAACCTCGGATAACAGTAGGTTAGGTTATGAGAAACATAGTGCGATTTTATGTGATTATTGACTAATACGAACCGCAAGAAATCATTTCTCGTATGTAATTCACGCTTGCCGAAGAGATTTCTCTCTGAAAATGATATTTCGGCGAACGGTGCGATAGCTGATACTGTTTTTGTAGGATTAACGTGAGAGATTCTCAGATGTGCTCCGACACATCGTAGCTCGTCAGCCAACTTGCGTTGCTTGATGGATCTATTTTTTTTTATTGCTGCAGTAGACTATGCTATACATTAGAATTTTCTTTCTCGCTTTAGTCAAATATCAAACATACCTATTTCACTTTAGTTCTATAAGTTCATAAAAATTTTACACTTTATTCTAGTTTTATACTAGTTCCATAGAAAGTAGACAATGTCACACAAATAGCCTTGTTAATCGCTGAAATTTTTACACAGTTTATCTTTTAAAATAACATCTTATAATAGCCGAATATTTCATGTTTTGAATATCACATTGGTTCATTTATGCACAATTCTTTAATATGTCTAGGTGATATTGGAAATTACTATTATGGCCAAGGACATCCTATGAAGCCACATCGTATAAGGATGACGCATAATTTACTTTTGAACTATGGACTTTATAGGAAAATGGAAATATATGTAAGTGTTTGTTTTCAGATTTTTAATCTTACAAAAAGCACAGCTAGTGTGGTTGCCAAAAGTTTCCAGCCAAGAGTAATTTTATTGTATTTCTCAGATAAAGATCTCTTTATAAATAAAGATCTAGTATACAAGTATTTAATATATTTTAATATTTAATTAAAATATGTTCTTAAGTTTATTGATACAAGAATTTTATTAATTTATAATAAACTGAAAAACAAAGCGACAAATTATGTTGACTGGAAATTTTTGACAGTCACTGTATATTTTATTATGTTGAATAAAATATCATAATTTAATTATACTTTATTGTTGTTTTAGCGGCCTCATAAAGCTACGGCAGACGAGATGACGAAATTTCATAGTGACGAGTATATTAGATTTCTGAGATCTATAAGGCCAGATAATATGTCGGAGTATAATAAGCAAATGCAACGATGTAAGATATTATATTAGATAAATTATAATATTGAATTCGAAAGCATTTATTGCACTTCTTTCTTTCTGCATTAGTTAATGTGGGAGAAGACTGCCCCGTTTTCGATGGTTTGTATGAGTTTTGTCAATTATCAGCCGGCGGATCTGTAGCCGCTGCTGTAAAGCTTAATAAGCAAGCGTCTGAAATCTGCATTAATTGGGGCGGCGGTTTACATCACGCAAAAAAGAGCGAAGCTTCGGGCTTTTGTTATGTAAATGACATTGTGCTTGGAATATTGGAATTGCTGAAGTATCATCAGAGAGTTTTGTATATCGATATTGATGTTCATCATGGCGACGGTGTAGAAGAAGCTTTTTATACAACGGATAGAGTAATGACAGTTTCATTCCACAAGTATGGCGAATATTTTCCTGGAACAGGAGACCTTCGTGATATTGGGGCAGGCAAGGTAAAAAAAAATTACCTTTTTATTCACACAATGCATCTAAAATAATAAATCATTAAATGTACATGGTTATTTCTTATTATTAACAGGGAAAATATTATGCAGTTAATATACCTTTGAGAGATGGCATGGACGACGATAGTTATGAATCGATCTTTGTCCCTATCATCTCAAAAGTAATGGAAACATTTCAACCCTCTGCTGTTGTTCTACAATGTGGGGCTGATTCATTGACTGGTAAGACTTTAAAAAGTAGTTATTATCACAATATGAAATTACAAAACTTTTCATATAAATACTAATTGTAGGTGATCGACTGGGATGTTTTAATTTAACTGTAAGAGGCCACGGTAAATGCGTAGAGTTTGTGAAAAAATATAATTTGCCTTTCTTGATGGTTGGAGGTGGTGGTTACACCATCAGAAATGTGTCCAGATGTTGGACGTACGAAACGTCGGTTGCTCTCGGCTGCGAGATCGCTAATGAGCTTCCGTATAATGATTATTTTGAATATTTTGGCCCAGACTTCAAATTACATATTAGTCCATCAAACATGGCGAACCAAAACACTCCGGAATATCTAGATAAAATAAAGTAAGCATTCTCGCAATATTATGTTTAGTTTGATATAGATTTGATTATAGCAAGTTAATTCATCGTTGCATTTATTTATAGAACGAGGTTGTTTGAAAATTTAAGAATGCTACCTCACGCGCCTGGCGTACAAGTCCAGGCAATACCAGAGGATGGTGCAGTTATTGAGGACTCGGAAGCTGAAGAGAAGACAAATCCAGACGATAGATTGCCCCAACGCGACCTAGATAAAAGAATGCAACATGAAAACGAATATAGTGATAGTGAAGACGAAGGCGAAGGCGGACGAAGAGATAATAGATCGTACAAGGTATCATCTTTATTCTACTAAAATGTAATGGTTATAATGCACAGAGCCAGCGATCTGTGTGTGGAGTGGTGAGTTCATTCACTCTACACATGTGAATTTGGCATGTGTTGAATTTCCACATACATTGAGCTACATCTAAGCTAAATTTTTAATGAGTAATTTATTGGATTTTTTTTATTGACGATATCTCAATGAACAATGCTGCGCGCTCTGATTGGATCTTGGCGGAATCTCCTTTTCTCTGGACGATCACTCAAATATGACAAGGACCACATTTGATGTGGAGACAGACGTATACGTGAATACAATGCTCCGAAATAGTTTGAACAACCATAATTAATTTTTTTAAAGAAGAGGAGAAATTGAAATGATAGATTTAGAAAAGCTTATAAATAAATTCTTAAATAAAAAATAATATTCGATGAGTTCCATTTGCAATAAATAAATAATTGAAAGAAACCAAATACATATGTGTACTTTATTTACTTTTTATTTATTTATTATTATATATGTAATATATAAAAAATTTATCATTTTTTAAATTTAACTTTAACTAAATCCCCCCGTACATTGACCACTTCATACATATGAAAGATTTATTTCGTTGGCTCTGATAATGCATAATTCTACAGATTTAGAAAAATACGGATGTAAAAATATTCTTATTTTATTCTCATGTTAATCTAGGGATCTAGGAAGCGACCCCGTTTGGAAAAAGGTCAAGAAGCCATGGATACCGACTTAAAGAAAGATGAAGATATAAAAGCAGAATCAAAAGGTATTAAATCGTAAATATAAACATTTCTTTTTGTATCACATTTGCAGTTAATATTAGGGGAAAAATGTAATAATTATTTGAATTTTTTTTACTTAGAAAATGAGAAGGACGATAAAGTAAACCCCACGAATGAGGAGACTAAAAAAGACGGAGGGGCGAATCCTTGATAGATAGTTGCCCCGGAGCATCTGAGAAAATGGAGAAACTCTTATTTAAATTAAGTAACAAATAAGTTTAAATAACTTAAATAATGGCAGCATACCATGCATGAATGTGTTATCTGCTGCCTCTACCTCGCGCGCGCCCTATAATACGAGATCATTATGTTTTTATCAAAAATCTTGAAAATGTTTAGACGTCTAGAAATATTGGATTCATTCGTGAAACGTCATTCTCATTGAAATTAACACGTATGAGCGTGTACATAGCTTATAATATATCCTGCATCCTGCAATTTTAACCATAGACCGTTAAGAGTTTTTGAAGTGTATTTCTGAGTGTTCTGAAATGTGTTTTTGGAAGGTGTTTTGGAACTACCGCACAAAGATGATTAAAAATATATCAACGAAATAGCGTTTTGATCGATTCGTCATAATTTTATAATCTGACCAACGATTCTTTTTATGCATAATCATTATAGCGTGTTACTTCAACTTATAACTTAATTTTTCTATGAGAGATTATGAATAGATCGTGACTTTTCAAGATTTTATAAATACTCCAAGAAATTTACAGAAATACAGAAATATTCCATGATTAAGTCATAAAATATTGACGATCGATTTAACACGATTACGATGTAACAAGATTACATTATACAGCCTGAATGTGCTGCAATCAAACTTATGTATAAAATACATAAACGTATATGTATTTTGTAATACGATTGATATAATTTCGTACGTCTTCTTATCCATTCATAATTGATTAATTTCTCGATAAAGACCACACTATACAGTTTATACTGAGGAAGGAATAAAACTATCCTTTAATCAACTGTTCTTAAAAATCATGTGTTGATAAGTTTGTTTGCTTCCTATTCTTGTATATAATACGCAAATAAATCTTGAAGGATATTAATCCTTGCATGCAATAACAATATTATAATCATAATAATGTTCTTTATAAAATTGTAAAATACGTCTTACATTACTCGAAAAAATTCGCAAATATTCCTTTGGCTACCCCTCTAGTTTTATTTGACGAATTGTAGTGAATATTGTTAACTTGTTACACATTTGAGAAAGCGTGAAAGATATAAGAAATATTGGTAACTTGATAGAATTAAAAGTTTACATTTATTTCATTGTGTTGAATTTTCTAGGAAGAATTTGTCATAAGTTAATTTTCATATTCTGAGACTAAATAAACTAGAGAGGTATCTAAACTCGTATTCATAGTTGTAGATCGATCCATGATTGATCTTCATTTTAGGCGAGCTAGGTTTGAACCAAAGTTTAAGCCAATTGAATTTATAAAACGCGTTTAAAAAGCATTTTTAAGAAGACTGATTTGAACCTAGCTCAAATCGGATCTCAGGTTGAATCACGACTATGAATACGATTCTAAGAAAGGAATGTAGATATATTTCTTATATTTTTGAGTAATGTATACACAAGCGAAAAACAAAATGAGATCGGAAAGTGCGGTGAAGCTAGGGCAGTTAAGGAATTACGTAATCAATTTCAATTGTAATTGTAATATCTTAAATGTATACTAGGCAAGATCTAACTTAATTTATATATAAATATATAAAAAATATATAAATTATTCCATGACATCCGGATTGATCTCTACAAGAATTGAAGACCGCGATGTCATTCCAAAGATCGAGCCTATGGTCGATCTTAGTGCAACAGAAAAGTTATTATAAATTCTGTCTTCAAACTACATTCTTACATATTTCCAAATTTTTGTGCAAGAGCAATACGATCGTATGTACATAAAATTTATCTTCTTTTTTTTTGTGAGATTAGAGTATTTGATCAGTTAGATTAGCGACTGATTTTACTTATAATAATCTCTAATATGCGATTGCTTGACATCACATTACATATATTACAATATATAAAGGCAAATTCAAAAAGATAATGGCGTTATGTCTCGTGTAAGTCAATTCGAGATATAGATCAAGTATTAGATATTTATGTCCACGTATAAGAGTATTATATGGACGTTTTTAAATATTTATAATAAAAAAATAAAGAAATCTATATATGTAGTTCTGGGGATTGAATGTTCTTGGAAAGACCTAGAAAGAACGTACGTTGAAGAACCCTGAGCCGCCTAAAATTCTATTAAACTCTTCTTTGATGAAAATTTTCGTTAGAATTTTCGTACAATTTTTTTTAGAATTTCTGTATAACTTCATGATTTTATTAGAAAAATTTCTCAGATTTTTTTTTTTATTCAAATTCGAATATTTTATAAATGAGAAAGTCTACATCTCTTCTGAAAAATTCTTCATATATGTATATGTAAATTTTGAAATATTGTAAGATTACTCATTTCAAATTTTTGAAGAAAGTTTATATAGATTTTAATTTAAAAAAATTTTAGATATTTTCTTCAGAAATTTTCATAAATTTAAAATGTAACAATTCTTAAAAATATTGAAACATGAAAATTCTTTTTACCAAATTTTCAAGAATAATTATGAATACAAATTATATAATCTGTTTTATATAATTAATACTGAAATGTTATTGTAAATGAATCTTTATTCAAGCGCTCTTTTTAAGTGCAATTTTTATTATTAAAATGTTGATAGCTTAAAATAACATTTAATATGTTTAACATAGTTCATTAAAATAGTGTTGATTTAGTTATAACATTTTACAATCCCCCGCCCTCCCCCTCTCCTTTCTCACCGTACAAAGTAGAAAAAGTGTAAAAAGATTCTCAATTATGTGGGTGAACTTTCACCAAGAATTAATAAAAAAAATAAATTCAGGATTAAATATCCTCCTTTCCTAATAAATATTACGCTCACATGCGAGTCATGTGTTGTGCGTATTCTTAGTATATGTTCTGTGTGTGTATCGTAATTTCATGTCGAAGTCGAATGACGACATTCAATGCATCCAAGTTGGTGGTATCTAATGATCCTAATGGTGTTACTGGTGATAGTCCTAAGAAACCGCGGCGTCTTGATTTCCCTGTTGTTAAATCCGGTTTGTCACTAATGTGTGACGTATAATGTAATAGCAGAAAAATGAACAGGATTTTTGCGCGACCAGCGCAAAATAATCCTTCGTGTGTAACAACTGTATCGACCAGTTTAACCTCGTCATCCACATTGGAATTGGAAGGAAAACTGATTAATGTCGCGCAGTTACTCGCATGTGAAATTCATTTTGCGCGCTAAAGAACAACAATGTTTTCTATTAGTAAGACATTTGTTTTGATAACTTTCTGGAGCTGACGTGGATCTGTTGGACTCGCTCAATTAGATCCTAGATCTCTCCAGAGTTGACAGTGAGTCTATTGAATCTATACAATTATAAATCTCTTTGTCAGTCTTTGTTACAGTTATAAATTTGGATTATTCTTATTAAATTAAACTTAATATTTACTTTTATTTATACTTATAAATTTTTACTATTTGATTTTTTGAAATCGACATAAGCTTCCTTCTTTGTGATTCATAAGAATGCTAAAAAAAATAGAACAACGTTTGTGTTGACTTGTTTCATTAAATGGAACGCATCCTGTTATCTATATTTCTGATCTACAGTGAATTATAACATTCTTGTTGTTTATATTGTATACAAAGATGAAATGATCTGTGTTACATCATGTTTCTTATTGAAAAACATCATGTGTTATGTATTTTCACATCAGCTCCAGAGGATTAATATCGAGCAACTTTATTTTTTATTAACAGGTAATTTCTGATTGCAGAGGTTCAATGAGATGTGAAACTCAAAGAGGCCTGTGTGTCGTACTGCGTCAGATAAGGACAAATCACAACGCAGATAACAGTCAGGCCAGATTTCCCAAATGATCCTCAAAATGATTTCCCAAATGTCGCATGTGATGACCCTCGCAAATAGCATCATAGGTGTGAGCGTTCTGGCGATGCCCTTCTGCTTTAAGCAATGTGGTATAGTACTGGCTGTTCTGGTGCTGCTTCTATGCAGCACTTTGTCTCGATTGGCCTGTTATTTCCTTGTCAAGTCAGCTGTAATATCGAGAAGACGCAACTTTGAGCTACTCGCTTTCCATGCGTTTGGCTACATGGGAAAGTTCCTGGCAGAATTGTTTATTATTGGTTTTATGCTAGGTACTTGTATTGCCTACTTTGTCGTTGTTGGTGATCTGGGACCGCAAATAATCTGCAAGATGATGAGCAAAAATCCGGCGGACATTCGCACTAGTTTGCTAATTTTCACTGGACTCTTCATAGTTTTACCCTTGGGATTGCTTCGAAACATTGACAGTCTGTCTAGTATTTGCACTGCTACCATTGTCTTTTATCTCTGTCTTGTACTAAAGGTATAATGCATAAACTACAATTTATTCCATATCTTAGCTAATATAAATCATGTTCATTTAATGAATTCAGTCACTCGCACTGCACTAGTTTCATTAGTGAATATTAAAGTTACTTTATACAAAATATCTAAAAGCAGTAACATAGTATGGCTATGTCTAAAATTATTAGCACTTTTACAAACTATAAGTCTTAGTACATAGATTAAAATAAACACGACAATTATCGTGTTTATTTTAATACATATATATTCTATCTTGAAATTATTTAAGATACATATTTTTTTTATTTATTGTGTAATTGTATTAAATGACATGCTAGTATGCCAAAATAAGACTTATAAATTGCGATTATGGAAGAATAAGGACAAATATCAAAATTCACTTGCAAAAAATTAATAAAGTTTATCGAAAAGAATTGTGTAGAAATTACTTAATTTAATTCTGCAAGTTAATTTTGATATTTGTCCCTATTCTTCTATAATCAGAATTTATAAGTCTTGTTTTGAAGAATAGTTTCAATTACGGATCTTTTTCTGTTAAGTAAAAACTTATAAATGTTGTATCTAATTAGTAAAGGCCAATCTATATGACATTGATCATACTTTTTTTAAACCATGGCATACTAGCATGTCATTTAATATAATTATGCAATAAATTTAAAATAATATACATTTCAACTAATTTCAAGAAATTATTAAAATGCTGATTAAGAAATTTAAAAAACGCTAATTAATGGAGTGTCTAAACATTTTTATACATGACTATAATCGATTTTAATTTTGGAATAATTAAATATATTTTGTTAATAATATGACGATATTATTATTGACTATTTAATCGTTTAAAATATTTATTATGCGTTAACATTTACTTTTACTATAATAATTTCACATATAGCAGCTTTTAGTATGCACTAATTTAGTGTAGTAATGGAAGTAGTTAATGGAAGTGACCGGATTTAATATATATAAAGATATATATTATATGCACTAATTAATATACTTTCTTTTCTAATTGATAGATTATGGGCGAATCAACCCTACATATTTTTATGGGAGATTGGTTTAACAATGTTAATTATTGGAGACCGGCCGGCATCCTTCAAT